ACGTTTTTATTTTTAGTTTTTCTCGTCCTGCGTGTCTTGCATTGACTTTTTGGTGATATGTTGTAATCCTTTTATTACAAATTACTTAGTATACTTTATGGGTAAAATAGTGAAGTGGATTTCACTAGTCTATAGCACTGGCAAGGTGGCATTGAAACCGCACTCAGGAAAGCTCACTACGAATTGCTTCGTATTACGAAGGATTATGCATCACAATACGAAGTATTTCTTCGAGTGCTTCGTTCGTAGACTTTTTTCTGTGCGAGGATGGGGCATTCGAAAAACTTCAAAGTGTGGACACTCACAAGTGTTGAAACCCACTCCCCCTCGACACTGCTGGAGCGGACTGAGAGTGCACGTCCCACTGGTCAAACAGCCCCGCTCCCCCCCCCTCTCCCCCACAGGACATTGAACGGCCGGTTGCACAGTGCACACAAATATCCCGCCAGCCAGCAGTGCCCATTCCCCAGCGGATTCCCACGCCAGGTCTGATTACCACGGCTCTGGGCGCTCAGGGCGCATGCTGGGCCAAATACTTTCCCAGTGTGCGCGCCAGCAGGCTGCCTGCAGGACTCCAGGACTGCACACCACGACCCGTACCGCATAAGGCGCGCTCGCCCACAGGGTGGTCCGCGGGGATGCCGTAGGATTGCCAAGCTAGGCTGTCCCGGGTGCAGCTCTGTCGCCGGGACTGCCTAGCTGCCGGGCGCTCAGCGGGGCGGTGGAGGCGGCCAAAACTCTTAGACGCGTTTTTAGCTCCAGAGTCGCTGAACAAGACTCGAAATGAACGTGTGACCCCACCAATGGATTCCTCGTTCGGAGAACAATCCATTGGTGAGGTCAGAAGCATGGTTTGAGTCCCATTTAGCGACTCAGGAGTTCAAAACGCGTCAAGAGTTTTGGCCGCCTCCACCGGTCTTCAAGCCTACTGTGAAGACCCCTGGCCTACACTCCAAGATCCAATGTGTGCTTTGTACGCAAAAAGCCCTGGGAGTGTACTAAGAATCTTGTTCAGAGAGATACACTCAAATGGAAGCGTGCTTAAGCTCCCACAGGTGTGAAGTAAGCACAAATTGGGTTTTGTAGTGTAAGTATTGCAGTTGGCGAGGGCTGGGAAGGCAAGAGGGGCCTCTGAAGCAGTCCAACACCGACACTATTCAGTCAGTGAATCCAAACGAGGGTTAGAGACAAAGCTTTTCGAGACATCTACATTTTCTGCAACAAACCCAATCGGCGCGAGCAAGGTCAGCGGGCAAGGTCGTGGCGACACAGCACTCAAATGTAAAGCACATCCTGTATTCCTGGAAAGCCATTCCATTCCCGCCAGGTAATGACTGCACTTTTTGAAGCGGACCGCGTTTATAACGACACTGCTAAACACAAACACACTGCAAACGCTGTTAGGCTGAGCCGCTCACGATGCGGGCCCAATTCCACTGAAGTATCATAAAACGCGCATAGCGCCCCCGAGGCCCGCAATGAGTGCGAGAGAGACGGAGCGAGGCCCGCAATGAGTGCGACAGAGACGGAGCGAGGCCCGCAATGAGTGCGACAGAGACGGAGCGAGGCCCTTTGCAACGGAACCGACGCAGTAGCCGCAGTAACTTGGTCCATTAGGGCTCGCGGCGCTGCGCGGCGCTGCGGCCGTTCGAGCCGTGCGCCGCCTTGCGCGCCGCCGCGGCTGTTCGCCCTGAAAAAGACATCGGCCGGCAATCTGGACGCCGCGCCTCGTCGCCGCTAGAGCGCGCAGCAGTGCCAGCGTCGCGAAACTGGGTTAGGGGAAGAATAAAGGCTCGGAGGCGATACCCGGGACCGCGACACTTGGTGCCGTTAGAAGCCTCGTCGCGACAAGGGCGCCGCGCGTGGCTCAGGTGGTTACGACGCACAGTGGGCCAGAAGACCGGTGGAGGCGGACAAAACTCCAGACGCGTTTTGAGATCCAGGGTCGCTAAACAGGACTCCAACCAAGCGTCCCACTGATGGATTCCTCGTTCGGAGAGCAATCCATTCATGGGGTCAGACGTTCGCTTTGAGTCACATTAGCGACTCTGGAGCTCAAAACGCGCACTGATAATCCAAGTGTGGGACAGGCATGCACTAGATAACGTGGGACAAACTGTCCCACGCTTGTAAGCGTGGGACAAAATGTCCCACGTTTGCAAGCGTGGGACAAACCGTGTTACACGCTTACAAGCGTGGGACAAACCGTGTCCCACACTTACAAGCGTGGGACAAATCCGTGTCCCACACTTACAAGCGTGGGACAAATCCGTGTCCCACACTTACAAGCGTGGGACAAACGGTGTCCCACGTTTGTAAGCGTGGGACAAATCCGTGTCCCACACTTGCAAGCGTGGGACAAACCGTGTCCCACGCTTGCAAGCGTGGGACATTTTGTCCCACGTTATCTAGTGCATGCCTGTCCCACACTTGGATTTTCAGTGCGTCGGGGATTTTGGCCGCCTCCACCGGTCTTCTGGCCCACTGTGCGACGTGGCGTGGCAGTCGGGGGACCCGGGTCCGACTCCTGCGCGTCGGCAAACACTCCGAATTTTCACCTGTTCCTCCGAGCGCGGGAGATTCGGAGAGAAACCGGGCGACTCCGGGCGCAGCAGCCACGACTCGGCGCCACTGCGGTCGGAATAAACCGTTGCAAACAGCTCTATTACACTAATAAGCCGGCGAGGATTGCGACGCAGGGAGGAAGGGGCGCGGCATGGGTGTCGCATTCGCCCCGTCGCTCTGTCTCCCTCGCACTCACGGAGCCGCCCGCAGGGGTGCGAGAGAGACCGTCGGGCCGCGGGGATAAATAGTTCCAACCCCCTTTACCGCTACCCAACCGTTACCTTGACTTGCTTACCCGGCGCACTCAGCTTTGTCACAGCCAAAGGAGATGGATGCGGCGAAGGTGAAATAACTCTGTTTCCGGAGCATTGGTTGCGCCACCTCAACACTCGAACGCATGTGACTGGCATTGTCACATTCAATCAAACGCCACTGCACTGAAGCACATACCTGTGTACTGAGGACACACTTAAGTTGTCAGTGCAAGCTGATTTCTGGCCAGTCCATTTTAATAGATGGAGCGTCACATCTCACTCAAAACTTAAGTGTGTTCTTACTCTACACTCTTATGTGGTCCATATGCGTACTCAGTACACACTTAAGTGATCCATTTGTGTATTGAGTACACACTTAAGTTTCCAGTGATTTTGCCGCATGTGACGTCATAATCCTGAATGCCCACGACATGTTCTGCGACTAAGCATCTCTATCCACCGGACAAAGCAGCACAAACGTCTGATGAGACTGCTTTTCATATTAACGACACCCTAAGTCCACCGGGCAACGTGTTATTAGGCAGCCACGCAGTAGTAATGCCCTTCGAGAGCAAGAGGCGCTCATTACATGACTCTAAAGGAGAATGTAAATCTTTCTTCTACGTAAAACGCGCACGAAACTCATGAAAAGAACGCGAAATAAAAGAGGGCAGCGTTGGACCTTGAATCCACGGCACGGACTCCCAGTGCACATTCATTCAATCCACGCGGACAGCGGTAGCGGTTCGATGTTCTCCTCCCGTGAGAGTCTTGCGGCGCTGCTAGCGCTAGCCCTCGTGCTAGCCTAGCGGTGCATAAGTAAGCAGCCGATTTGTGTCTTTGTGCATTACGCATTACAGAAAAGAGGCAACAACGTCTGCGGAGACCCTCAGAGGGAAAAATAGAGGTCCACGTACTTTCCGCCAAAGGTTTTGACCTTTTCAGACACCTTTCTCTCAGCCAGCCCTACGCCACTAACCTCGGCTCACTGTAAAAAAAAATCCTGGTCGAAATCCCTTAAAAATAAGGTTGTCAATCGACTTGATCTTGGCTTGGTGGAGAATTGATGGGGTATTCATGCAGTAAGTATACTGTCTTCCACCCAAAAATATGGCTTCTTCGATAAAGGAAAATCGAACTTTCCTTGTGTTGTTTTTTTGTGAGAAATATTTTTTCTTGTGTTCCGATTTTTTTTACGAAAACCGAGAAAATTAAAAATTAAGAAACCATTTATTTGGGTGTTGTTGAAATGATATTACCAATAAAATCGCACGGCCGGGAGTCACCTTTTCTGTTTCTTCGCAGTGCGGGGCCGGCGGGGCCCTGACGCCACACTGCAGTGCACCGCCACACGGTCGGCCACTTTTCCGCCCATTTCCCCGGCGGAATGATGGGCCCCGACTACACCTCCGTCACGACGACGGGCTGCTTTCCCGAAGTCTTGCATCACGCCGGCCGAATCGCCAGGCAAGGATAGGCAACGCCTGGCAACGACGCTACCCGCAGCCGGTTAGACAAATCACATAATGCCCTTTCGCTGAAAGTGCCGACTCAACGAGGACTCCTCCGCCATTTTCGGGGTCGCACATCTCGCCAACGACGAGCGCAACGAGCGCTGTGAATACTGCATAGGGCAACAAATTGAGAAAATCGAGTTTGAAGATTGAGTTGATCTGTGCGTGACCTTGAAAGTTTCACTCTCAAAACACCTTTCCAATTACTTTAGGCCTTACAAAGATAAGTAGGTGGCTTGTCATAACAAAGAATATTGTGCATACATAAGCTTACCAAAAAAAATAGCTCGTCCGTTACGAACTATTTTTTGTTTTTTTTTATAGCAAACTGAATAGTTTGTACCTTACTCATGCTCAAAATACTTCGTAAAGGTTAACGCTTGTCGCGTTCCAGAGAAGCCGCGGCGAGGGGGAAACGACTTTGGTTATCCGACGTACAGCAAATTGGTTATCCGCTATCCGGCTAACCAGAAATTTTGAAGTAATCCGGGGAAATTCTGAGGTAATCCGGGGTAATCTGGCGCAATCCAATGGTAATCCTGGAAATTTTTCGATGTAATCCGAAGGTAATGCGCGGGTTATCCGGGGTTATCCCTATCCGATGTACACACAATTTCTCAGTCGTTTCCCCCTCGAGCCGCGGAGACATGTGGTGCACTGTACTCACGTTGTTGACTAGGACGCCGCAGTTGTCCGAGGCGCCGGGGGCGGCCACCAGGTTCACGTCCAGCGTGGTGAGGGTGCCGCCGTTGCCCACGGCGATGCAGCCGGCCTTGCGGTGCTCCCGCGCGTGCACCGCGCCTGGAAGAAGAAGGAAGCCGTCAGCAGGGTGCCTTATACCACATCTCCGTGTTCATTGGAAATTTTTTTGGTCCCGGTCGACATTACTAGAATTCTTGTCATTTTCACTAGATCTTTAGTTACACCTACCACACCCCCCAAAAAAATGGTTTCTTAATTTTTGATTTTCCACGTTTTTGTAAGAAAAATTATCTTGACACAAGAAAAATTATCTTTATTCAAGAAAAAGAAATTGGATTAAGAAAAATTTTCTTGCAAAAAACCAAGAAAAGTTTGATTTTTCTTCATCCAAGAAGTCATATTTTTGGGTGCAGTATGGGTGTGGCTACCACAATTTAGTCGTGTCAAGGCCAGAGTGCACTTCATTGGGCTGAAAAATTCACCATCCAAGAACAGGTAAATTAACCCCCTTTTCAGGATGTGAGGCAAGGGTGGCTGGGTAGTAAAAAGCCTATGAAGGTAAATTTAACTTCTCAACACGTGGTGAGTTCACCCTCGATTTTAAAAAAAGCGTTGCCACTGCAGTAGGCAAAAACTCCTACGATGCACCAGTGTCCGAAGGGTTGCTAACCTCAGCGTGCTAACTAGGCAACTCCTCGAGAGCAAAAGCCAGACACTAGCCTAGAAGGCACGCTCGGGCAGGCTGGAGGTTGTGGCAGCTATTTCAACAATGCTGCATCGCGAAAATTTTTGCCAATTAAGAACTTATGAGGCAACCCGACGCGCGAAGAAACCTTTTTCATTTTCGCCTTCACCCCGTTGGTGGAGGTCGGTTCCCCGTCCGCCGGTCCGTTCGGCAGAGAGGCAAAGGGAGTGCCCGCCGACACTGTTAAACCACTCCACCTCACCTCGCCGGTGTCAATAGCGGTAACCCAATGAGCTCGGCAGTACAGCCCACGGGGCCGCCGTGCCGTCGTGGGGGCGCTGGGAGTAGCTCTGTCTCTCTCTCACTTATGCGGCGTTCCTCATGGGTGCGAGAGAGACAGAGCGACGAAAACGACTCTGGGAGTCAGTCTGTTGCTCCCGGCCCGGCCCAGCCAGTCGCCGAGACGTCACGATCCATGCTGCTCCCTCCCATGAAAATGATCAGCCGTTAATTCAACTCTGGAGTGCCCCGCACAGCGCACAGTGGGCCAGAAGACCGGTGGAGGCGGCCAAAATCCTAGACGCGTTTTGAGCTCCAGAGTCGCTGAACAAGACTCGAAATGAACGTGTGACCCCACCAATGGATTCCTCGTTCGGAGAACAATCCATTGGTGAGGTCAGAAGCATGGTTTGAGTCCCATTTAGCGACTCAGGAGTTCAAAACGCGTCAAGAGTTTTGGCCGCCTCCACCGGTCTTCAAGCCTACTGTGAAGACCCCTGGCCTACACTCCAAGATCCTGGGTCCTCTTTAGCGACTCTGGAGCTCAAAACGCGTCTGGAATTTTGGCCGCCTCCACCGGTCTTCTGGCCCACTGTGCAGCGCGGCACTCAATCGGCGGCTCAAACCGCGTCGGTGAAGTCCGAGCCTAAAATCCGCCTGTTTTTGGCCTTTTTGGGCGAAAGATATCGGATTTCCCAGAGATTTCTAGGGCTCCAGGGGACACAGGATTTCTTTAGTGGTTGCCCCCTCGGCGAAATCAAAACCAGATACAAGAATATTTGGAGTTGCACCCGTAAGTTTGTGTGCTTTCTGCGACACAGTGGAGACAGAGACCGGCAGACAGACTCCATCGCGGTGCTTTGCGGGGGCTCGGATTTGTAACACAAACTGCATTGATTACGATCTGACGCCGCTGCCCCTTCTTTCACACACACACGCTCACACACACACACACACACACACACACACACACACGAGTGTGTCTCCATTCAATTAAAAGTCCCGGCCGTCATTCAAGCCTGCTGCTGCACCGTAAACGCTGACAAATGACGGCATGTTTCGCTGCGGAGCCGCGGCGCCTTCAAATTTAAAGCACCCCCAGGGGCCGCTCTCTGCCGCATCGGCTCGCCTGCGTCTCTCTCTCTCTCTCTCTCTCTCTCTCTCTCTCTCTCTCTCTCTCTCTCTCTCACTCACTCTCTCGCAGTGGCGGAGTGACAGAGAGGGGACGCGGCGTGGCGGTGGCGCCCGTTTGGACGCGTGCCGCGTGCCATCGTCCTCCGAACGACCCGGGTCGGAAACGATCGACGTCGAATCGATGTGATTACGAGCCTCCCAAATCGACGTTAAATAGACATTATCGTCGATGCGATCGATCCATTTCCAGCTGCGAGGCCTCTAGCGAGACCCTGCGCTTGTGTGCCGCGCTCCTCCACGGTCTCTCTCTCTCTCTCTCTCTCTCTCTCTCTCTCTCTCTCTCTCTCTCTCTCTCTCTCTCTCTCTCTATCTCTCTCCTGCATTCCAGAGGCGTCCTCTCCCAGGAGCGCGAGAGAGACAGAGCGACGAAGCCCAATGCATCTTCCGCTAAAAACTATTCACTCGGGATCGGCAGTCGAATTCGGCCCGAGCCGGTAAACCAACAGGCAGCCTCGACTCTCGAGTCGGCACTCCATAAAGCAGTCACATCCATCCTGCGGACTTATTCCGAGGGTCGTTTTCGTCGCTCTGTCTCTCTCGCACGCATACACTGTGGCAAAAAGCTACGGAAAATTCTGTTAATTTTTTTGCCAGGATTCTCCGTAGCCCTCTTATCAATATTCTCCGTAGGCTCTTACAGTATTCTCCGTAGGGCCGCACAGTATTCTCTGTAAGTTCGCACAGTATTCTCCGTAGGGCCTGGAAGACGGTATAGTCCTACGGAGATCACTGTAAGGTCCTACGGAGAATACTGTGCGGTCCTACGGAAAATACTGTAAGAGCCTACGGAGAATATTGATAAGGGGGCTACGGAGAATTACCACAAGCTGTTAACAGAATTTTCCGTAGCTTTTTGCCACAGTGTAGGGCGTCCCGTACAGGTGCGAGAGAGACAGAGCGACGAAGACGACTCTCGGAGTCAGTCTGCTGGGCATCCAGGGGTTCGGCATCCGCGCCGCCAGGACGTCCAGCACCGCTAGCCGAATGCTGGAGCCTCTGGAGCCTCCAGCGGCTCCAGGGTGAGCGACGAGGATCGCCGCGGGCTGCTGTCCTTGTCACTCGCACTGCGTGGCACTGCGCACTGACCACGCCTCGGCGGACCGCGGCATGCGGGCGGCAGCTGGCTGATTCCGAGAGTCGTCGCTCTGTCTCTCTCGCACTCATGGGGCACCCCGTATGGGTGCGAGAGAGACAGAGCGACGACTCTCGGAATCCGTCTCCAGGCGGCAGAGGCCCGGGTGGTCCGCGGACGTCCACGTCGTACGCCGACAGGTGCGCCGCCACTCGAAAAAGAGCCGTGCCCGCCACTCGGCGCGGCGGCCGCCGCGTCGCGGGTTCGAATCCCAGCGATTAGTGCGCCGAGCGCGGCGCCGCTTTTTACTTGCGCTCGGTTTTCTTTACGGGCTCTTGTCACACCTTCGTTACGACACATTGTTGTTTCGCCGCCCATTCCTCGTTCCGCTTGGAGCAGTCATAGCAGTCCGCGGGGCGGGGTGGGGCGGGGCGCGATCACAGCCAATCTCGTGATTTATGCAGCCGGTAATACAGTTAGGCGGCGCAGCGTGGCGCAGCTGCATCAGGTGCAAAGCGCACCTGGACCAAACAGCTGTGACCGACATCCTGGCCGGCGCAGCGGAGTGGGGGAGGGGAAGGGGGAGGGGAAGGGGGAGGAGGAAGGGGGGAGGGGGAGGGGGAGGGGGAGGGGGAGGGGGAAGGGGGCCTCGGAATATCCGCGCGGACTGCCGCGGTTTCCATGGCGCACTAAAGGCCCCGCTCGGGGTCGCTCTGGGGCACTAAAGGCGGCCCCATCCGTCTCCACGGCCAGGCCGCACCGCCGCGCCGCCGCGCCACAGCGACGCGTGACCAGTCCTGACGCGCCGATCCCCACCGAACAGCGCGCAGTCTCTCTCGCACCGCTCGGCACGGCCCGTGCGTGTGAGAGAGGCGGCCTGCGAGGGCTTAAAACTGGTAATCCGGAAGGAAACGCGTACTCGGCGAAATGGTTGCCATTAATTTGCACGCACACTGGGAGCCGCGAAGCATTCCTCCTCGTCCGCTGTAGTCTAGCTGTCTCTCTAGCGCACCGACAACGCGAGGCGTCCGCGGGTTCGAATCCAGGCGGCTCCTTTTCAAACCATCTTTTTTCTCCCTTTGAATTTTTTTCCTCTGCCTTTTGTTTTCTTGCTGCAGGGACGCCGAACGACGGGTCGATTGATCCGAGCGTCTCGGCTGCACTCTGCTGGCCTTCACCCAGTTCCTCTACACGGCGAGGGCCTCGAGGAGGGGGGGGGGGCTGGCAGATGTGCTGCGTGGTGCACTTGTACACGCTTGTAGGTCGCGGACCCTCGCCCGCTTCCTCATGAGTAACAGCCTCACCCATAGGTTGCAGCTTGTGGCCGGCAGAAACCTTAACGTCCGAGCGAGACAGGACTACTTCACCCAGAGAAATAGTTTCTTGATTTTTTATTTTTTTGTTTTTTTTTTAAGAAGAAAAAAGTTTGGATAAAGAAAAATTTTCTTGAAAAACCAAGAAAAGTTATTTCTTTTTTTGATCCAATAAATCATTTCTTTGGGTGCTCCACAATTCGAAACCTTGTTAAAATGAGGAACAGCAAATTCCCTGCTCGAATTTCGAGGTGCTACCGGAAGTTTCGCCCAGGTAGGCTGCATTGTATCAAGAAATTCGTAAACGGTCCGCGTCGGAAACGAAACGAAAGTCAAAGAAGGCAATGACAGAAACAAAACCAACAGGGAGGTGCGCTACATCTGCGATGTGACAAGGCGCTCCCACGTTGGCAAAAGCGGCCGGGCGGGGTGGGGTGGGGCGGGGCGCGGTGAGCTCAGGGCGATTCATGTCATTCAGACGGCAGTACATGAAAAGGCTGGCCGGGAAAAAAGATATAGTCTTGATTTATTTGAGACTCCCTTCCCTTCCTTCCAGTCCAGGCCACTCCAGGCAGCTCCAGGCTCCAGGCGAGCAGCCCTGGTGGCGGCCGGGCGGACCGCGCGGCGCTACGACGAGCAGACGGCCGGGCCGACTGAGGCTGCATAGCGGTCTGGCCCGGTAGCAGTGCCCCAACACCGCGCTGGGCTTGCAGATACACAAACAAAACACCGCCGCTTGAGCGTGACTGGGACGGGGACCGCGCCAAAGTGACGAAGACGGAGTCCGACGGGCAGCACAGAGAGAAAACGCCGTAACCAAGAAACGCATTTACTTGAATGTTTTCAGTCTAGTGCAAGTAACTTTTTTCGAGGCGTGGAAGACAAAGTTCCAGGAACGCGACCCAGCCAGTGTCCGGCCAGCCGGCCACTCGGCCAGCCTATCTGGACACCCGACACCTTCAATTTTGGAGCTGGCTGGCACTTTATCAGTGGCGCGGCCGGGGCACCACACCTCCGCGGGGTCGATGCGCCGCGATGCGCCCAGCCCGTCCAGGCGTCGCTATCGCATCCCGGACTCCCATATCGCTCTCGCTGCCTCGTTGTCGACCCCGCACAGTGGGCCAGAAGACCGGCGGAGGCGGCCAAAATTCTAGACGCGTTTTGAGCTCCAGAGTCGCTAAATGGGACTCGAATCGAAGGTGTGACCCCCACCAATGGATTGCTCTCCGAACGAGGAATCCATTGGTGGGATCACACGTTCAGTTCGAGTCCCATTTAGCGACTCTGGAGCTCAAAACGCGTTCAGAGTTTCGGCCGCTTCCATCGGTCTTCTGGCCCACTGTGCCCCGCCGGGCCCCGCAGACCGCCAAAACTGACAAAAGACGGCGCACCGTTAGGCTGACTTCATTACCCGGCAGGTCTCTCTGTCCTTCTCGCACTCATGGGGCGACCCGTATGGGAGCGAGAGAAAGAGAGAGAGGGACGATCAGAATCATCCTGCCGGGGCCCTTTCCTCTCATCACGCCGCTGCCCGGTCATCCGTCACAGCCATGGGCAGCCATGGGCCAACGAGGCCCTCCAGCGGACTTATGGGCCGGGTCATAGGTGGCGCATAAACCTTGTAAACACTGCCAAACGCACTCGGCATTCCTGCACGGCAAAAAACTGTTCGTGCACTCTCAACATCTTATGATCGTTTTTATACGTATTACGATGGTTTTTCATCGTAAGGTACGCATAAATTTGCACATACGTAATATGCATAGATTTCAGCGTAAGGTATGCATGATTTAATCGTATTACGCATGGTTTCTTCATAAGGTACGCATGATTTCATCGTATTACGCATGAATTTCATTGTAGTACGTATGTTCTCATTTCAACGTAAGTTATGATGACCCTTTCATCATAAGAATCTGAGGGTGTGGCCTTCCCAGGCACAGTGGGCCAGAAGACCGGTGGAGGCGGTCAAAATACCGGACGCGTTTTGAGCTCCGGAGTCGCTAGCAGGACTCGAACCGAACGTGTGACCCCAGGAATGGATTCCTCGTTCGGAGAGCAATCCATTGGTGGGGTCACACGTTCGGTTCAAGTCCCATTTAGCGACCCTATGGAGCTCAAAAATCGTCTAGAATTTTGGCCGCCTCCACCGGTCTTGGCCCTGGCCCACAGTGCCAGGTAGCCTAAAGACATGGACGATTTCCAGGAAGTCTCTGGGGAAACCAGCAAATTCTTTTTGCCGTGCGGCTGTGCGCTTTCTGTCGTCCTCATCGACTCAGCGGTCCTGGCCCTGACTAGGGTCCTGACCCTAACCGCTTTTAGGCGCTGCGGCGGCATAGCGCAGCAGATGGAAAGCTTCGCCCCTTTTTTCGATAGCCGCTACGTTTCCTTGTTTTTCTTACATTACGTCTCATTTCTGCTCGCCTCTGATCTTCTCCTCTGCAGGGCTTTCTAGATGTCAGTCCGATACAAACCACACACACACACACACACACACACACACACACACACACACACACTCGCCACTTCGATCGTGTTTTCTCTGGAGCTTCCAGTGAGCATGACCACTGCAGCGCACTGGGCAGAACGCGGCGCGTGCGATATGTACCAGGAAACAGAGAACCGGAGTAAGTGAGGCGCGGTGTGGAAAATAAATTCATACCGCATCCGCACACTGTGAAAATTTGTTGTCACTTTATGGCAAAGTCGTGGCTGATATTTCCATCACTTTCAAATGATGACAATCTCATCACAAATTGATGACATTATCACACTGGTAAAACAAAGGCATAAAAATTACGCCCTTTAGGGCATAAATACTCTTTTACGCCCTTGCAAGGGCATAATTCGTTTTATGCCCTTGGAAAGGGCGTAAATGGTATAGGAATTTCAAGCAAAATTTTAATGCCCTTCCCAAAGGCATTAACGATTGATGCCCTATAAGGGCGGGTTCGGTCCCGTCCCCGGGCCCGTCTCGATCTAGTCCAGTCGAGGTTTCGAGGTTTCGCATTCCGCGAGGTTTATGCGGGTTTATGGCGTTTGGCGGTGTCTCCAGCAGACTGACTCCGTGCGTCGTTTTCGTCGCTCTGTCTCTCTCGCACTCAAGGGGCGTTCCTATGGGTGCAAGAGAGACAGAGCGACAAAGACGACTCTCGGAGTCGGTCTGCCGAGCGGCTAGGCCGCGATGGGCTAGGCGGACTAGGCGCGGCGCCAATGGCTGCCAAGCACGCCACACTGCTAAGCCGGGCTGGCTGCTCCAGCCCGAGGTGTCGGCGTCACTCATCGCGACTCGTTCCAAAAATTATGCTAGCGGCCGCGCGACACGCGTTGAAAAGGCGTGGCCGCAAAACCGATTTGTTATTTATTTCCTTAGAAAGTCAAAGCGGGCCGCCGCCGCCGATGCCGCGCAGAAATTTGCATTCGGCGAGAAAAAGAAATCTAGATCTGGGTTCTTCTCTCACTCTCTCTCTTCTGGCTGTCTCTGCTCTCTCTCTCTCTTTTCTGACTGTCTCTGCTCTCTGTCTCTCTCTTTCTCTCTCTTTCTCTCTCTCCTCTCTCTCTCTCTCTCTCTCTCTCTCGCTCTCTCTCTCTCTCTCCTGGCTGTCTCTCTCCTGGCTGTCTCTGCTCTCTCTCTCCCCCCCTTTTTTCTTTTCACCACCGCAGTGCAAGGTAACCGATAGGGCATTCATTCAAGCAGGCCGCTGGCTGCATCGCCTCTACTTCCGCCTGCTCGTGGCTTCCCGAGCCGCCCGGCTATCAAACAGCTATATTACACGGCGTATCAACTCGTGCGCCGTGAACGCCGTAACGGTGAAGCGGTGTCCCCGGCGGAAACAATAATCAAGTTGTGGTCGCCGAGTATTGATATCTCGGTCGTGAACGGCAGGGCACGGCACCGTACGGCATGGCAGGGCAGGGCATGGCACGGTAAGGCCAGTGTGGGCGTGCTCGACATTTCGCCGTGCTCGAGTACTGCCGCCGCGAGGCGACTGCCCACACCTGGGGAGGGGGGACGGGAAGGGGACATTGATTTGCGAGAAATCTCTTGCTGTGCGGAGTCACATTCCCCTCGCGAGACATTTGGGGTTCTAGACCACCCGCTTTGTGGATAAATAATCGTAGCTCCATCTACGTAGAGCGCTTTGTTTATTTGTTTGAATTTAGTTGCAATGTACCAATGTAATAAATTATTCAATGAAGACGGAAAGTTTAAATCCATAAAGATTTGCCTAGTTTTTTCAGCAGAAATGTCCCTTTAGTTTGAATTCTTTTAAGCGGTCTTGCTACCGTTTCTACCTTTCCATCAAAACCCACTCATCCCATCCATCCATTCGACGCACTCAGGGGAGACTGCATGGACCCACTGCACGGGTTTAAGTCAGAAGTGAGCGAGTGAGACCACTTCGGCTAGAGTCAGCTGCATCGATCTCAACAAGTCCAAAGTTTTGATTTGACATAAATGTCAAACCTAATTTTGGTTGCGAGTGTGAGGCCGGAAGCCGACGGGCTTTCCCTTTCACTGGCAAGTCCCCTTTTCCGTGACCGATTCCACGCGGCCCGGTCGCTCCGTCTCTCTCGCACCTCCACGAACCGCGCAGCCTCCCTGCGAGTGCGAGTGAGACAGACCACTTGGCACTCGTCACGAGGAAACATGGCGCGGCGCAACGAAAAACGCCGCAAACGGCGGCGCGCCGTCAGAGCAAGCAAAGCGAGCCAGCAGACAGAGTCGTCCTCGTCGCTCTGTCTCTCTCGCACTCATGGGGCGTCCCGTCAGGGTGCGACAGAGACCGCGAGCGACGGCAACGACTCTGAGTCTGCAGGGGGCTCCGGGGCCGGGCGGCCGGGCAACAGGTGCTAAGTACTCCAGTTGCCAGGATTGTATCACTGGCTTGCTGGTTGTCTAACCCGGTGATGAAAGCATCGTTTTTAATGGCTGCCGCGCCGCCGCACTTACCGTAGAAGGAGCCGTTGGTGTGGACCCGTATCGTCATGCGGCCCGCCTTGCACGTGGCCGTCACGGTCGGCGTGAAGTCCGTCTCCAGCAGCGACTGCGCCGCCGCCTGCAACAACGAACGCCCCGGTCAGGTCGAGAAGAAGGGTTTAACGACCAAACAACGGCCGTGCGCCGCACTGTGGAAAGAACATGGGAAAAATCTTGGAAAATGCGTTTCAAAAGCTCCCTCGAATTTTTGTCCGGAAAATTTTCAAGAAAAAAGTGCTTTGGAAAACTCCTGGAAAACGGCTGGAAACTCGAACAAAATAGAAGAATTGAAGAGGGGGGGGATTCGTAATTTACCAAAGACGGAGGCATTTTTCCTCCCCACAAATCCTTTGGAAATTTCCAAGATTTTTTTAAAA